GAAAAACAAAGAAAAAGACAAAGAAAAAAAAAACAAACAAACAACAACTACGACAACAACTACGGCAGCAACAGCAACGGCGATGCCGTTGTTGTGGGCGTGCGTGGGTGGGTCGAGGTGCTCCGGCGTAAATGCGTCGCGTTCCGAGCGTCGTTTCTATTTCGTTAGTTGCTCCTCACTCCTTTTCTCTTTGGGCCACGGCCAGTTCCGGCGCTCTCCCGCCCGTTACATTTTCCCCCTCTCTTCGTCTCTCGCACCCTCTCGCTTGCCCAATTCCCCTCTTTTCTTCTTCTTGGCCTTTTCTCCTCCTCCTTCCAAAAGCTTCGACCGCGCCTTTTCTTTTTTTGTTGTTGACTCCTCCTCCGCTCCGCAGCTCCGCCGTGAACGCACCTGCAGCCCCGTGCCACTGCCGCTTTCGATTCCCATGGCGAACCCGTACGAGCAGCGGGAGGACCCCTTCAGGGAGAAGACGTTGGGGTCCCCCCACGCCCCCGCCGCGCCGCACGCAGCTGCGGCAGGGCAGACCACGATAATCACCCCCTTTGCCGAGCCTCAGACATCGTACACTTCCGCGGAGCAGTCCGGCCGGTTTGGACAGCCGCTGGGACACACGGCCACGAGTCAGGCGTATAGCCCGCAACAGCAGTTCTACGACGGCCCCAGCTCTCCTGGCTCACCGGGGCCGCTGCCTCCGCCGCCCCCAGCCTCGCCCGTTAAGGAGCAATCCACGCAGACGATGGTCGAGCAGCAGCCACAAGAGCCGCAAGAGGGGCAGGCGTCCTCGACCTCCAGGTTTTGGACCATTGAATTTTACCAGCAATTTTTTGACGTTGACACCCGACTCGTGCTTCTGCGAATGAGCAACGCCCTGGTGCCGATCAATCCTCCTGACTTCTTAATGGATCGTGAGTGGCGCAACGACGCCGTGCAGACCCCGCCATATGAATTACAAGAGGCAGGTGTGACGTTGTCACGAAAACCCGACTTGTACGGTCCCTTTTGGATCTCCACAACCTTGTGGATGACGCTGGGGGTTGTGAGCAATATTATGAATAGGATTGCGTTTAGTCACCAGCCGTCGGACAGCCGAAAAAAGTGGGAGTATGACTTTACGATGGCATCTATTGCCAGCATTGTTATCTACCTGTATTGCTTTGGACTAAGCTGTTTTGTCTGGGGGGTGATGAAGTATAAGGAGCTGCCCGTCTCATTGTTGGACACGCTCTGCCTCTACGGGTATAGCATGTTCATCTTCCTGCCTGTGGTAATTCTTTGCGCGATTCCGGTTTCCGCACTCCAATGGATTATCGTGGTGGTGGGCGGGGTTTGGTCAACCGCCTTTTTGCTCATAAACTTCTGGCGTCTCTGGAAGGCGACGCTGAGCCGTGTGTGGTTCATAGGAATAGTGGCTGTCGTGACTGTATTTCACATGCTGCTGGCGATGTCCTTCAAGTTTTACTTCCTGCATTACAAATTTTAGCTGGACGTGGCCTCAATAAATAGAACAGGAATAAAGAGAAACATGGCTCTCAAGGCCTCGTGGATATATATTTTTTCTTCTTCGCTTTGGCGTCGGATGCCTCGGGGTGGGGAAGAGTGAGAAAAAAAAAGCGACACATGCGAAGTTCCTGAAAAAGGGACGTAGAGGAACCACCGTTTTCCCTTCTTTTTTTCTTTTTTGGTAAATTCTCCGTCTCTCTTTTTGCTTTGGTTGGCAACTGCATGCCTTTTGATTTGCTCTGCCCTCTGCCCCCCTCCCTTTCTTTCTCTCTCTCTCTCACCCTTTCCATCTCCTTTTTTTGTTTCCTTCCTGCTCTCTCCCTCTCTCTCTCTTTCTTCTTTTCTCGCCTCTTGTTTTCCTTCTTTATTGCCCCTCAGGTCCCAAGTCTGCGCTCCTTCTCCCACTGGTTTCATTTAACTTTTTTAAATTTTACTGTTATTTTGTTTCGGGTTCGTGGCAGTTCCCTAGACAAAAAATGCGTCCCGTGGTTGTGATCTTGCAGCATGAGCCGAAAGACACCGCGGCCTACATGGAGGCGTATTTGATCAAGCGCGGGATCGACTACGTCACCTACGAGTGCTGGAACGATGACGTGGCGCGTTGTCTGCCGTCCTCCGTCGCGAGCCACATTCGCTGCGTTAAGAGGGGCGATGGGGCCCACCGCTTCAGTCCCCTGCCCAATAACTCAGAGGAGGGGGAATGCTGCTGCATTCGCGGCGTTGTCAGCTTTGGTGGCTCCATGAGTGCCAACGACGACCTTCCGTACTACGCCCCGGTCCTGGCGCTCATGCGCTCGTGCATCGAGACCCGCACCCCCGTCCTCGGCCACTGCCTGGGGGGCCAGCTCCTGGCGAGGTGCCTCGGCGGAAGTGTCAGGGCCTCCGAGCACGTCGAGGTGGGGTGGATGGACCAGGAGGTCGTCAACGCCGACGCCGGCGGCATCAAGGACTGGTTTGGCGGGCGACAGGTGATCAACGTGTTCCAAATCCACACCGAGAGCTTCACCGTTCCAGCGGGGGCGAGGCTTGTTGTGAAGGGCAAGTACTGCGCCAACCAGGCCTACCAGGTGGGCGACCAGTATGCCCTGGGGATGCAGTTTCATCCGGAGGTGGACGAGGAGAAGGTGCGGGCTTTGACCTCCACGGAGTTCCCGTCGCTGCACACGCGGGCGGAAATTGGGGCCATGGGCGACGAGGAGGCCGCGCGGCTGTCGCCCGCCGCGATGACCCGCGACGAGATTGAGCGCTGCCTCAGCGAGGGCCGCGTCGAGCGCAACTGGCCCATCGCGGACAGCATCTACGACACGTGGTGCTCCGGGTTCCTCATTTAAGGTGCACCTGCGTTGCGCGCTTGGGTAACGAAGAGAAAAAAAAAAGGCAAAACAAAAACGGAGAGAATTATATTAAAAAAGCAAATGGAAAAAATAAGTACTAATTTTTTTGGACAAGGGGAGAACACACCAAAAAAAAACACATAAATACAACACTAAACACAAGAGACGGGAGGTGTCGGTTGTGTAGTGCTCCCCACACGCACCTAAAGCGATGTTTTCTTCCTTCTATTATGTCCGGCACGGCGGGGAGGACGCAGGCGGGATTTCTGAACTTGGGGACGGTTCCGGGGATGCTGGCGCCACGGAGAGCGGTGGACGGCGAGGGCAGGGCGTGGTTTGACGAGGCACCCCAGAAGCGTGCGGGGAGCAACACCAAAACGCGTCATCCATGCCGGAGGGAGCCAGCTCCGCAGAGAAGGCTTATTCGTTTCTTTGTGCTCTATGCATGTTTCTTTTTCGTGTTGTTCCTGATGGCCCTCACTGCTTCGTTATTCAAACTTCTGTGCACGCTCTCATGGCCCTGGCTTGTGCTGGAAGAACTCCCCTCCCCTCCCCTCGCCCCCAATAGCCTCGCTGCACCCATACACCTGCAGATACATTTGCGTTTGTACGCATTTATGCATGGGCACTTTTCCTTCCTTGTTGTTTTCCGCAACGGCTTTCATTATACTAGCGTGTGCATGCATGCAGAATTCTTTTTTCTGTTTCTTTGCTTGCACACACCAATATATATATATATATGTTCGCTCCGGCATTTGTTTGGGGTAATATTAAAAAAAAAAATATATTTTGCTGTCGGTTGCGCCCGTAGCGGCCGCATCGCGCTTTAAGTGCTGCAACACGTGCAACATTTCATACAGCCAAGTGAGCGAAAAGGGTGGAGACGTTCTGAAATACTGATAAAAGAAAAACAACAACTTTTTTTTCCTTTTTTTTTATGTTTTCTTTCAGCAATTGCAAATCGGATTGTACCTTGTTTTTTTTTTCTATTTTGGCTGCTGCTGCCCCCCCTCCTGCACTGCATGGCTGAGGCTCCCCTCCCCCGCCTCTCCCTCACGTGTATTGATTGCGCATTCGTGCGGGTGGCTCTCCTCGATTATTATTATTATTTTTTCCTTTGGTTTTGCCGCTGCGGCGCCAATGCTGGCGTCCTCTCAGCGCGTAGGTTTCTGTCCCTGGCAATGCGCCGGTGGGGCCTATACTCCTTGCAGTGCCTCTGCGCATGCCTTTTGAGCGTTTCCAAACAGGCGGCGCACGCGCCGTCTCCACCCACCGCTTCCGCTCCCTCGTCGCCGTCACCGTCGTCGTCGTTGGAGCCGGAGAGGCCGCAAAACAAGGCGAGCAGGGCGAGGACGGTGACGCAGGCGGCCACGCGTGCGCCACGCACAAAGCTCGACCTGCCTGCAGCATATTCCTCTTTCCGCGCCATCGCCTCCATTGGTGACGTTCGGGAGCAATACGGCTACTTAGGTCCCGGCGAGCGGGCTGCGCAGGCGCGGGTGCGGGTTGCGGGGCGCGTCACAGGCCTGCGGGATATGGGGAAAATGTTGTTTCTTACAATTAGCTCGGACGGAAGGGAGCTGCAGGTGGTGGGACAGGTGGGCGAGCACTTCACACGTGAGGAGTTGAAGAATTTGAAGGTGTCGTTGCGGGTTGGCGACATCATTGGGGTGGAGGGTGTTCCGTGCCGCATGCAGCGCGGCGAACTCTCCGTGGCCGCCTCCCGCGTTCTCGTCTTGAGCCCCTACGTTTGCACCGACCAGGTGGTCTGCCCCAACCTGCGCGGCTTCACCGTGCTGCAGGACAACGATGTGCGGTATCGCTACCGTTTTGTGGACATGATGACTAACCCTTGCGTCCTTGCGACAATAAGGAAGCGGCATGTGATGCTGCAGGCGCTGCGCGAGTACCTAAACGAGCGCAACTTTGTGGAGGTGGAGACCCCGGTGCTGCACACGGTGGCCTCGGGCGCAAACGCCAAACCGTTCGTGACGCACCACAATGCGAACGGGACGGATTTGTTTCTGCGCGTCGCCCCAGAGCTGCACTTGAAGCAGTGCATCGTTGGTGGAATGGAGCGCGTCTACGAGATTGGAAAAGTCTTTCGCAACGAGGACGCCGATCGAACCCATAACCCCGAGTTCACAAGCTGCGAGTTTTACGCCGCGTACCACACGTACGAGGATCTCATGCCTATGACCGAAGACATTTTTCGTCGCCTGGCGACGCGCGTCAACGGGACGATGGTGGTGCGACTTCCGCCCGACGGCGTCCACGACGGGCCTCCCGTCGAGGTGGACATGGGCAGCCCCTTCCGGCGTCTGAGCGTCTACGACGAGGTGCAGCGCGTGTCTGGGGTGGAACTCCCGCCGCCAGGCGAGCTGAACACACCGAAGGGCATCGCCTACATGTCCGTGCTCATGCTGCGCCACAACATTCCTTTGCCGCCCGTACGAACAGCCGCGAAGCTGTTTGACAAACTCATTGACTTCTTTGTCACCGACCGCATTGTGGAGCCGACGTTTGTGATGGACCACCCGCTGTTTATGAGCCCCCTCGCGAAGGAGCACGCGTCACGGCCTGGGCTGGCCGAACGCTTTGAGCTCTTCATTAACGGGATGGAGTACTGCAACGCCTACAGCGAGCTTAACGACCCTCAGGAGCAGTACCAGCGTTTCCAGCAACAGTTAGTGGATCGACAAGGGGGAGACGAGGAGGCCATGGCGTTGGACGAGACGTTTCTGAAGTCGCTTCAGGTCGGCCTTCCTCCGACCGCGGGATGGGGCATGGGCGTCGATCGCGCCTTGATGCTGCTCACAAATTCTGGCACCATCCGCGATGGCATCATCTTCCCGCTACTACGCGAAGACGTCCGCTCCCATGATTCCAAGCGGCGTCACAAAACGGCCTCGTTTTTTGACTTCAACAAACAGATGACACTCTTTTGCCTTAGTGGCTTGGAGCAGGAGTTGAAGCGAAATGGCCTCTCGGACGACGCCTGCGCCCACCTCCGTGAACTGCGAAAGACCATCGTGGAGTTGGGGAACCGCGGCGGGGCACACGGTCTCCCCATGACAGGCGCGCGTTTGCCCGAGTGGCGACTAACGCTGCTGTTGTCAATCATTCGTTTTATGTGCGGCCCACATCGGCGGTGAGGTTCCTTCTTTGGCGGGTGGCGGGGCACCCTCTTTTGTACCTTCTTGTTGAGTCTTGCAGAGGTGGTGTTGGGTGGGTTTTGCGTGAAGGGGCGGGGGGACTGTCGGAGCTCCTTCTTTCCCCCCCCCCTCCCTCATTGGTGTTGCTGCGGGCCGTGGGTTGGGTGGTGGCCGCGGCGACTGCTGTTGTGTTGTGGCGTCGCGGTGGGAGTGACGTGCTGGCGAAATCGTTTTGCTGCGGCCCGTGCGACTTGCACCGGTTGCCGTCGCCACTCCGCTTTCCTGTTGGTGCTGCGGGTACTTCTTTTATTTTTCCCGCCCTCGCCCCTCTTCCGAGGCCCGTGCCCTCCGCCGGCGTTAGGTTGCAAGCAGCGGAGAGAAGACGTGAAGTGTGCGCGTGTGTGGGGAGAAAAAGATAAACAGTAAAGATTAACTAAACATGGGAGGGGAGCGTCAGGATGACGTCTACGAGCGGATCAAGTGGAACGGCTGGGGTCTGAAGGGACTCGAATTAAAATACGACGCGGAGAAAAACCTCGTCTTCCACTTGAACGGGAAGCCCATGCGAGGCCTCCTGAAGTTCATGCAGGAGGAGCTTCGGAAGCAGACTGGTGAGGTACACCTGGTGAATTCGCCGGGCATTTCCGCGGAGGAGGCCGTCACGCGACTTCCCAAGCCTTGCATTAACCAGGCATTCCTTCAGGAGCTGCGGCAGGCGCTCGTGGAGGAGCAGGTTCGCCTGGACGGCGAAAGCCGCCTCACACACATATTCGGCAAGAACTACAGGGATCTCTGGCGGGCCAGAAATGGGATGATTGATCGCGCCCCCGACGCAATTTGTCTTCCCAACAACCACAAGGACTGCGCGAAGATTGTGGAGCTGGCGCATAAGCATAATGTGGTCCTTGTTCCTTTTGGGGGCGGCACAAATGTCACGGGTGGCGTTGAGCCTTCGCCTTTTGAGACAAAGCGCATGATTGTTTCGGTTGACATGCGTCGAATGGGACGCATGTTGTCCATTGACAAGGAGTCCGGGCTGGCTGTGTTTGAGGCGGGCGTTCTGGGCCCCGACATGGATGAGCAGCTGCGACCCCACGGCTTCATGTTTGGTCACGATCCTGACAGCTACACTCACTCCACTCTTGGCGGGTGGGTTGGTGCGCGCGGGAGCGGTGCCATGTCAAACAAGTACGGCGATATAGAGAACATGGTCGTTGCGATGAAGGTGGCAACTCCAATTGGCGTTGTGGAGACTCCTCTGACTTCTCGACCCTGCGGGGTGGACCTCAACGCCATGTTCACTGGCTCAGAGGGCGCGTTCGGAATCATCACAGAGCTGACGGTCAAGATTGAACCCATTCCGGAGGTGAGACACTACGAGGGGTGGATGTTTCCCTCTTTTGAGGCCGCCTTCTCCGCTTTTCACACATGCACGCGAAAGGGGGTTCATCCATGCACAATGCGCCTGTACGACGAGGACGACACACGCCTTAGCTTTGCTGCGAGTACAGACACTAGTTTTCTCAGCTCGCTTATTAGCAGGTGCCTGAAGAAATACCTGGGGGACATAAAGCACTGGGATCTCAAGAAACTCTCTCTGGTCATCATCGGCTTTGAGGGAACCAAGTTCCAGACAAATTGCCAACGACGTGAGTTGTCAGGTATCTTTAAATCGTTTGGGGCTGTTTGCGTGGGGTCGAAGCCTGGGAAGTCTTGGATGGAAACAAAGTACGACCTGCCTTACCTGCGCGACTTGGCTCTCTCACACTGCCTCTGGGCGGATGTGTTTGAGACCAGTGTTTTGTATTCGGACGCCATTCCCTGCTGGCGCGCTGTGAAGGAGGCGTTTGACGCCGTCATGAAGGAAAACGGAAGGGCCGGCTGGATTGGGTGCCACACCGCCCATCAGTACCGGTTCGGCTGCTGCCTCTACTTCACATTCATTGGCGAGCAGCACGACGAGAACGACATTAAGCTCTTTTTGCAAATCAAGCAACGCGCCATGGAGGCCATGCTGCGCCACACAGGGAACCTCTCCCACCACCACGGGATCGGCTACGAGCATGTTCCGTGGATGCAGCGGTATAACGGCAAGGTTGGGCTGGAGGCAATTATGCGGTTTAAGAGCGCGCTTGACCCGAAGAACATTTGCAACCCCGGCAAGCTGCTCCCCTCTCCGCGGGCGGAGGGCGAGACGTCAGCGGCAGCGGAGGCCCGTCAACGCCGTGAGATGATGTTTGACAAGATGGGGATTCCGGGCGCGGTGCAGGCCCACCTGTGAGAGAGATGTATATGTATATATGTGTGTGTGTTTTTTTGTTTCCCCGCTTTTTTTTTTTGGGGGGGGGGGGACTGCGCGTGCACCGTTGCCTTGGGGGTTAATGGATAAGCCAAGGGAATACTTCTTTAAGAGGAATAAGCAAGCGACAGCAACAGAGTCAAAATACGGAGAACGGGGTTGATGCATCTGAAGAATTGTGATGATGGTGATGGGGCGGGGGTAATTAGCAGGATATACGTGGTGTGAGCGGCGGCGGCGAAGGTTGTTGCGGCGAGTTTTTCCCTTCCCGCCCGGATCTCCTCCGTCCCTGCGGCAGGCACGCACGAACGAGAGACACAATGTTGTCTGACACCCTTTCCACCACCTACCTCCTTCCCTGCCGGCGATCCATGGCTCCCCATCGAGATGCAGGTAGGTTTGCCGTTTTTGTTTCCTTTCCTTTCCTCTCTTTTTGTTTTGCAAGCGCGCATTACAGAGACGCCGCTGCGCAAGAGGGATACACGGGCACTGCGTGTGTGGTGCGTGGCACACCCAATATCGGTGTGTTTGGTTATGTCCGGCACATTGCGTGACCAGAGATGCAACTGATGGCACCCCCTTGTCCTTTGCGGGATCTGGCGGACTGCGCACCCATTTGTGCGTTTCTCGTCCTCCGTCGCGCAACCGAGCCGAAGCGTAACCGCTCTGCCCACTTCTGTGGAGGCTAACAGGGCTTCCGCGGCGTATGCACACCCGCAGCATTGGGGTACGGATACGGGGTGAAGTGTGTCTGCTTCCTCTGACTGGGGGGTTCATGTGTGGCGTCCCCTACGTGGAAGCGGTGGCGCCGCAAGCGAATAACGCTGCTGTCCCATTTGCGCTGCCAGACGACGACGCGGCCTGGGCGGCTGTGCTCCTCCTTTAGCAGCTTACGGAGGCTCGCCCTTGTAAGCCTCCGGGACGGAGACGCACTGCGTGGAGTAATTGAACTAACGAGCCTACCGGAGCTGAATATTTCTGACGCGTCGTTTCACCCCGCTCTCCCTTTCATTCCGTTCCACTCGAACTTTGTCTTGCCTGGCAAAGAGCCGGGCCACCTTTGGCTGCTGCGCCGTTTTTTTTTTTTGATTCAATTGAAAGGGGACCATCGATTTGGCTTCATTTCACCGCTTGCACTTCTTTGGAGTACTTATTGGACGCGCGGCGCAAAACTCCTTGCAAACTTCTGCGCCCTCACAGTCGTGCCGGCGCCTGGAGCTATTCCGAGTTCTCACCATCCGACGCGCATGACGACGGCATGGCCGAATGCATGGCGGGGGCTTCACGGCTACACTAGCACGTGTTTCGGATAAATCTTCTCAGTAGTGTCTTCTCCTCCTCACTTTTGGCGCCACAGAGAGGCGGTAGTCGTTGCCGCCCTCGCTGTTGTGGGTACTGCATGAATATGTGCACACGTCTGTTGACGCAGACCCTGCGGCGGGGCATGAATTTACTTTCCTTTCCGTTCTCTCCCTCTTCTCCTCTCCTCCCCCCTCCACATTGTTCTGTTAGGGGAAAAACGAAAGTCGGAGGGTATCCGGTGTGGAATGCTCCATTCCACGGCTTCTGACCTCTATGAGGAGTGCTGTGCACTCTACGGGGTGCGGCCGAACAGGGACGTGGCGCAGCAGCTGGCCAGGCCCAACTTTCTCACCATCCGGGAACTCGATGCTTCGAGAACTTTTCTCGGCGAGTTGGGCGTGCGGGCACTCCTGGAGTTCGTTGGGAGCCACGCCGGGATTCGGCGTCTCGTTCTCACAAAGAATGGCGTCGATGCGGCTTGCGTGGAGCACCTCTGCAGCGTCCTGCGCGAGAGTCCGTCGCTTTCTTCCGTCGACCTGTCCCAGAACCCCATGTCGACGCCCTCCGTGCGGCTCCTTTGGGAAACAGTGAGGGCCGTACCGCACCTTCAAGAGGTGAAGATTGACAACTGCGGCGTAAGCGAGGATTGGGTGAATCGACTGGGCCGCTGCTGCAAGGCGAACAGTGAGTTGCAGCACCTTGGTTTCTATCCGTACGGCCCAGAGCGCAGCCTTCGGAGCTGGGAAACGGTATTCGTGCTCCTGCTTGGTCCGGAGCCTCTCGTGCAGGCCTACTGCAGGGATGCCCTGCCGTATGTTGGAAGCTTTCTGTCGCGGCTCCGTCTACGGATTGCTCCGCTTACTATAGAAAAGACGGATACTCATGACGTAGTCATGAGCAAAGTCTGGCGATGTAAGTCGAGCTACAACTACGCGTTAAGTTGGTGCGTTGTCCTAATAGATGAGGCGACGCAGTGGACGGATCCGGATATCAGTGCCCTGACTGCCGTGCTGCGGCAAGAGGAACCTGTGGTCCCTCCGCTGCGGAACAAGTTTGGTGTCCTTCGCGACCCGATACACCGCTGCGCGAAGCACCTGTTTGTATATGTGCTGCTCTTTCTCTATGAGGACGAGCTGAATGGAGGTGGACGCGTCTCCACAGTTCAATCCGGTGTGTGGCTTGCCGCAATGGGCATTACCGTGTCGGATGGCGTGCAAGTTCCCCCCGCAGTGGCCTTGCCCAGCGAGCGAAGCTGGAGAATACGCTGTCCGACTGATATTTGCACCGCCTTGTACTCCGTTTTCTCAGAGCGGCCTCGTTCTATGACGTTCCTGGAGGAGGACAAGGAGTCTGCCGAAAGGGTGTGGGAGACAATTGAACGCGAAAAAAGCATCGGCTCGCTGCATCCAAGATGCAATGACATTGTCCACTACATGGAGAGGTCTGCCGGACAGTTGTCGGTTCCTTTGATTTTGTACGGTGCGGGTGACCTCGGAAAGCCCCAGATTGTGTCTTGGGTGGCCGCAAACTATGCCACAGTGGAATCGCTCCGTGTCGTTCCATATCATGTGAGCCACGAGGCTCGGAGCCTCGTCGTGCTCTTGTTTCACCTCCTCCGCGTCTTTTCAAGGAAACCCAGACGGGTGTATCGTAGTGTGGAGGAGCTCTCCCTGGACGTCCGTGGGGCCATCTCTGCCTACGACGGTCAAATGGTCCTGCTGTTGGTTTCTTCCATCGACCACCTGGACGGCTGCGGAGGCCGGGAGTCGTCCGTGCTCGAATGGCTTCCGGCGTCTCTGCCGCCGTCTGTTCGCGTCATTGTCTCGCTAAACACGGAGAGCCCGCTTCTCACAGCCCTTCGGAAACGCATGCCGCAGCCGTACGAGCTGCTCATTACATCGCTGCCAAAGCAGGTGCGGGCCGAGTTGTTTCTCCAGGAGCTTTTGCGGCGTGGTGTGAGTGGGGCGTCATCCGCAGCCGCGCAGCCGACGAGGAGTGGCAGCTCTGCCCTTCGGTTTGAGCCCACCAAGTCGCTGGAAAGTGCCTTTTTGCTGAAGGATGGCTCGGAAAGCGTGCACTTTGGGATGTACACGGCTGCGCTCCTCCAGCGAATGCCGGAAGATTTGCTCGAGTGGGACACTGCGTTTCTTATGGCTGAGGAGGTGCCGGACACCCTGGATGAGATCATCACGCTGTTGCTGAGACGGTATGAGGCGCTGAGCGACACACTCACGGTTCAGTATCTCACAATGAGCCTTGTTGCGTCGCCGCTGCCCATTTCTGAGGTTACTTACATCTGTGAGGAACTCGGGCCCTGCGCACGCCACAAAACTCTACCGGTGATTTTGATGATGTCGGACGACGGTCTCTTAACTGTCACCTCCGACTCCGTCGTCCACTTGTCGGGCTCTGATGTGCGGCGGGTGGTCTTGAAACTCTACGCCGACATGCAGGACACTCTCAGTGTACTGGTGGAGACACATCTGTTTCGGCTGGTCAAGACGCGAAGTCCCGATATGTCCTTCTGCTTCAGACATCTGGCACCAATCATGATCGCAAACGGTAGCCTTGTGGCCGCCTACGAGCTCGTCTTGAGTCCAATTTACATGGACGCTTTGCTGAGTCGCGATCCAGAAAACGGCAACTATGCCGTTGATTTGGTCTTTTCTCTGTTAAGCACACGTCAGTTTCTGCTGGAATTGGATGTCGGCGCTTCTAGCTCAATGAAAGCGAACATTGACGGTCTTGTCCGTGGGGCTCTGCAAAGTGCCCTTGAAGCCTTGCAGTCGTACGATGGATGCTTCTTCCAGGCCGCCTTGTTGGCCTCCGACGTCTCGCCGTATCAGGTGCGGGCGATGAAGGCAACGGAGGTTCCCTACACCGTGCTTGTCCCCCTGAACCGCGGCGATGAGGATGACGCAACACACTCTTTGGAGTGCAAGCATCTACCTCTGTATTGCCATTTGTGGGGGGAGTATCTCGTGGTGACAACAACGCAGGAGGTTATCGTGTACTCTGCAGCGAACTTTGAAAACGAGATTGCGCGGTCATTTTTACCGTTTGAGGCCAACCAGAATCTTTGCGGCTCCCTAGTTGCTGCGGGAACCCGTGTCGTCGTGGTTGGCAATGGACAGTTGCTGTTGTGGGACTTTGCCAGTCAATCATTTACGATGTTTGAAGACACCACCACCTCCCTGAATGAAAATGCATTGGACTCCTTTGGCCTCAGCCTCCTCGTTCGCCACCCCTCGAAGGAGCAGTTCTCCATCATTGACGTGTCCAAAAAGAAGGTTGTCATGGAGCTCCCGACATTTGAGGCGCCTGTGCGTGAGGCGCTCTATTGTGGCAGTGGGATTCTTGCCCGCGCTCTCTACGACTTATTCCTCTTGCGGGAGGAGGAGGAGGCGGTGATGAAGCTTGCGCACTCAGGCGCTATTCGTGGTGTGAGTTTTTGCAGTGACAGTCGCCTTATTGCGTCTTGCGTCAGGGAGAGTATCTGGATCTGGTCTGGGGCAGGGGAGCTGCTGCATCTCATCGACGCCGGCTTGACACCCGTTGAGGACCTTTGCTTTAATGCAAGCGGGGAGTTGCTGCTCTCGTGGCAAAGTGAGGGGGTGAAGCTGTGGCGCTCGCTGAGTGGGGATTGCGCGGGGGCCGTGGAGCCCTGCTTCGATGAGCGGGCCTCCTTCATTTGTTTCACGGAGGACGGCTCAAACATTCTTGGTCGCTGTGGCGCACACATTTATCTCTGGGATGTCCACACCCGTCAGCCGGCGGGGTGCTTACGGCCAGCACCGGCCACTTCACGTTTGTGCAGGAGCGAAATCAAGTCATCATTGGGACAACCTCCCAGAAGGAGGTGAAAATATGGCGGGTTGGCGCCGCTCCTATTCCCTCCATTCAGAGGGCAAGGGAAAAAAGTCTTACAAGTATGTGGCGTAAGAATGCCAGGCTCTCACTTGCTCCCATTGTCCGCGTCAGTGTGAATTTGAATGGAAGTCTTCTCACTGCCGTAGATGATGCTGGCTCGGTGATTCTGCAGCCGATGGACGGCACGGCAAGGTGGGAATGCAGCCTTGCAAATGTGGAAAGCACTGCCATTATGGCTGACATGCTTTTATTCACTCTGAAGGGCGAGAGCCAATGCTTCTTTTGGAAAAAGCAGAGTGGAGACGACACCGTACACGAGGTATTGCTGCCGCGGGACGCCGCGATGAATGCGACGCTGGAGCTTGCAGCTGCCGAGGTTGGGGGCTCCATAGCTGTGGTTTCAAACTCTGAGGAACGCAATGTGATTTACGTCTATACCGCTTCCGATTGGAATTTGACAAACCAGTTTTTCGGTCACTCTGGGCGTATTGTTCAAGCTTTTTTTGCGGGTGATTTTCTCTTTAGTGCGGGGGCGGACTGCACTGTGCGGCTTTGGAGTCTGCTGCGGCATGCGGAGCGGGCATCGTACACCCACGCCTGCGCCATAGTTGCGGCGGCGCCGGGCCCCTTAGCGACCCTCTTCTTAGCGGACGAGCAATCACGGCTGTACCACTTACATGTAGAGAACATTGCCTCTGCGGCGCACGCGCGCTTTGTTGCGGAGGCGCTGGAACTGTCCCTGACCATTCCAACCACGGCGCGGGTCCGAGAGGTCACGTACGCCTCCGACCTGCTTGCCATGTCCACGGCGGACGGCTCAGTGTGCTTGGTGGACCTGCGCCAGGGCGGGACGGTCAGCAGGCTGTCCGACTACAAGTGCCTTTCGCTTGCCTTCGCCGCCGAGGGGGACGAGGTGCATGTCGTGACGGGCCACTCGACTGGTGAGGTCGTTTTGCACCTTGTGCGTTTCGCTGAACCGATGTAAACAAAATAGATAGAAGGAAAGAGAGAGAGAGAGAGTTGGCGATGACGGAACATACGTGTCGGCCTGTTTCCTTCTCATTCCTTCTCTTTCTGCTTGTGTGGGGGGTTTTGGTACGTGCGATTTTGGCTGCTTTTTCGGCTGTCCCACGACTTTTTCTTCTTCTTTGCTTTGCTTCGTGCGTCGGTGTTTTTTGTCGCCAACTTGCGCGAATTGGGGACTGCCGCCCGCCCGCGCGCAGGAATAGGAGGGTGAAACCTGCACGCCGCAAAAGGTCAAGAGGGCACGCGTAGTCAATAACGGAGCCAAGGAGAGGCAAGAGGAAGAAGAAGCAGAAGGAAAGAAAAAAAAAATCCCTAAAAACCGACAGAACCAGCACAATGCGGCGGGACGATTTTGAGCGCCGACGTCTTCGGGATTTGTATGACCGGAACGTGCGCCGGGTGCGAGCACTGGCGGAGGCGCGGGATGCGCGAAGGACCGACAGGGACGACGATGTGGCGGCTCCCCGGCGCTACGTCGTTAGCGAGCGCCGCACTCGCCTCGAGGGGTTTGGCCGCGGCGGCTTCCAAGTGCAGCGCTCCCGCCAGGGCAGGCCCGGCGCAGGAGGCGGTCGCTTCAGCGACAAAGGCGTCTACCGCCGCGGCGCCCTGGACCGCTTTGAGCGCGATGACGACTTCGAGCGCAAGCTGCGCCGTGAACGCTTCCGCGAACGCCGCCTCAGTGAGGGCGGGCTGCGGTTCGGTCGCCAGCGCCTGCGCCTTCGCCGCAGCGAGCGACGGGAGCTTCGCCAGCTTCGTGAGCTCCGCGACCTCCGTGAGCTTCGCGCGCTTCGTAACTCACAGAGGGCCCAGGGCAACGGCGGTCGCCGCGAGCCCCCCCAGCGCGAGGCGCTAGAAAAGGAGCCGGAGCGCCACAGAAAGGATCAGCGTGGCGGGCGCAGGCGTGGCGGAGGCGGAGGCGGCGGTCGTGGCGGTGCTGCCCAGCAGCCGCTCACAAAGGAGCGGCTCGACGCGGAACTCGACCGCTTCCGCGGCGGCACGTAGTAGAAACTGATTGGGTGGGGAGGTATTCAATTAATAGAGGTCAACGAAGCTGGCTTGATGGAAGTCTAAATTGAGGTGGCCGAGGGATCCTCTTCACGTGCTGTAAGTACCTAACAGGAGAAGCGAGGGGGTGAATGAAAAAGAAGGGAGTCCGTTGTTGTCTTCCTGTCCCTAATGCGTGCACACATGCGCCTGCACAGACGCCTATTTCACGCGAAACGTGGATGAGCCGTCAAACATTGGCACTCCTATTTCTTTTCTTTTTTTTTCTTAAGCCTTTTTTGGTTAGACGATGGCGGGTTCCGCCGCAGGGGTTTTGCTGCTTTTGTTTCGTTTTGTCCTTGCGTGAGAGATTGAGACAACGTGCGGCTTGCGGCGAGCGACCCGGTCATGCCGGTCTCGAGGTGCAGCAGGCGAGAAGGCGAAGAGCAATGTGCCCTGCCACACCAACGGGAGGAAGCGGAACGGAACCGGGGTGCCTCCGGGCACGCGCTGAGCCGAGGCAGAGGTCTCTGGACGCCGACCGCATCCGACCGAGCCCACCGCGGTGGTGGAGGCCACATGCGTCCCAGTTCCTTCCGTCTTTTGTGTCTTGCCCCTGCGCCAACTGAAAAACACCTTCGACCGTTGCGGTTCCGCCGTCTTTTCCGCATCTCATCATGGCCCTCCATCGTGCGCGAGGCGCGAATCCCCACCTGCGTCCTCTCAGGCACACACACACACACACACACACACACACACACACACACTTGCCCGATGTTGTTGCATGGCACTCCGTATACTTTGGCTCAGTGGCTCCCACGTTGGGTTCGTCACATCTTCCGTATTTGTCGCTGTTCCCGCCGTCTTGTGACGGCTTGAGGTGCGCTCAGGCCAGTGGTGTGTCTCCCAGACTGACGCCTTGGTGGCTCCTGTGCATTGTGTTGCCAACGATGGCATCCGCAATCCACTTTTTGTGTATTGTTTTTCTCCCACCCCCCTCTCCGCACTACTTGGGCCTTGTCGCTCTCTCCTTCCGATGCACATCTCTAGTCGTTAGTGAATGCGGCTGGGACGGCCAGGGAAGTTGAGCGTGGTGAGTCGCGGAATGTCTGCATTTCATGCGGGAAGGCCGCCGCGTGCCTTGCGCCCGGGCTACACCCCCCTGTCAACTACCCACACGGTCTTTGGACAGAAGCAGGCCACTGTGCCTGCTGTGCCGCGCCGCAGGAGCCTGCTTTCGACGGATCATCCGGTCTTCGGCACAAGTAAACCGCTAACTTCTGATGGACCATTTAAGGGCCCCATTAGTATTTCGGGATTTTTTTTGGCCATTGACCCCAACTTCGCGGCAGGGACACAAAGCCGGATGAACCCAAATGCACAAATAACAGTGCGTGACAGTGAGGGAAACATGTCGCGCGTCCGCTACCGCTGTCACCTAGAGTCTGATACCGGACTGAAACTAGAGGCGCTTATACGACTCCAGGTTGGGTGGGTCTCGCCGAAGGTGACTTTCTCCTCTATCCCCTATGTCATCTACCTTGGAAAGGGCTTCGATGTGAGCATTCCATTCCTTATGCACTTCACCATGGTGTCGGTGTTGGATGAGCATGGGGATCACACGGGAAGCTTTCTCTACTTTAGCGGGACCCCCATGCTCGGATTCTCGGCGGGCCTCACCCAAATTCGGAGAGGGAAGTTAGTGCTAAACCCATCGAGGGAGGTGGATCCCGTGGAGGAGTCTAAACAGTTTGTTGGTAATATTCATGTTCGACAATTGGGCTTTGTCGTACTAAAATGTCTCGTGTACGCTTTGTGTTGTCTCGCGTGCGTTCCTGCTTCGCAGCGCGTTTTTCAGTACATTCTGCCTGATCCGTTTCACCGACACAGTGAAGGCGCAGTTTGACGGGTGTCTGATTCATTTTTGTTTAAGTTGCTTTTTGACGATGCTGCAACCCCCATTTTTTTTTTGTTGGGGTGGTGGGGGGTGGGTGGGAAATAAATGAACTGTTCTTTTGGTTCTCCTCTAATGCTTTTGCCTTGTGCGTTCCTTCTCTACAAAAAAAAAAAAATAATTGTCCATTGTTGTCTGTGCTGCTGGTTTTTTTTTTTTCTGCGTCGCGGCGCTTACTCTGCGGCCCGGCGGAGGGGAGGACGCCGCAGCCGCCTTTGTCTGTTTTCCCCCGTAACTTCCTTCCGTTTTTTTCTTTCGCTGAGCGTCTCCTGTCGCTGCCGCACACGGCTCTGCTGGCCCTCGCGTAGATGCGGCGAACATTTGTCGTGCTGTGGCAATATGGCATCCACGCCCCCCGCGGCGTGGTGTACCACGGCGCCAAGATGAAGCATTGGCCGGAGCAAAAGATCCCGGAAAATTTCAACTTCACTGAGGAGCAACGCTTTAGGGCGAAGGCCATCCCTCGCGACGTTGGGAAGATACCCCGCGACTTTGTCCTCAGCGTCCTTTACCGCCACCAGCCGTGCGAGGTGAGCGGCCTCTGGGAGTACTGCACCAACGACCCCGGAGTGGTGCTCGACAGCAAGCGGCATCTGCGTGAGGTGCTGCAGCAGGCAAGGGAGGAGGGCTTCGTGACCTTTGAGCGGGACCCCGTTTCGAGTGAGTGGCTCTGCTTCCTCGCACGGGAGCGCTTTGAGGAGGTGCGACAGATTGCTGCAGCAAGGGCTGAGGCGTCGGAGGCCCACTCGGGACTGCGTGGCTTTAGCGCGACGGAGACCTCGGCATACGCGGAGCGGTTTAAGGAGATGAATGACACTGCAAAGGAAGAGCACTTGCGTCGCCTTGAGGAGGAGGTGAAGACCACCACGAGACACCTGCGCTCGTTCCAGCGGAAGGAGGTGGACTACCTGCCGTACACGGACCTAAACGGAAAGGTCAACTTCATGTGGTGGTACGAGACAAGGGACGTGCAGCAGAAGGGGGGCGATGCACTCCCCGCCTCTAGCAGAGGCACCTTGACGGAAAACCCCGATCATGGCACCGCACGCCTTGGTAGCTGACGTTCTTGTCGTATTACTTCGTCTTCTTTCCTTATGACGGAGGCCACTTTTTCTCTCCCCGTTCCCCCCCCCTCCCTTTCCACACGCATGCACGCACAAACACACTTGTGTGGACGCATGGGAGTCTCCTTGTTTATATTCCCGCCTCCCCCCTTTTTTTTGTTTTTCTGTCAAAGCCTCTTTTTTAAAATTTCATTTTACGTTACTTTTTGCTTTTGCCCCTGCCATTTTGTAGAAAATGAGTGCGCAGGTCGAGCCGGAGTCCTCCCGCCTGGAGGAACTGGAGTTCTACAGGAGCACCCTGTACCAACGGGTCCAGGAGTGCCCCATATCAATCACCCCAGGGGGTGAAATGATGCGCTTCCTGCGGAGGGAGCTCGTGCGCGCCGAGGAAAGTGCTGAGACGGAGGAGTACCGGCTGGTGGTCGGGGACATGTTCAGGGTCGTGACGGACTCCTTAATCTCCGCGGCGCACCGGAGCGCCCCCTACGCCCACATCGATAGCAGCCTCCCGAGGGACTACCACGTCACAAAGGACGAGGACGAGCTCTTGATGGCCGACGGCATCTTCGACTCCGACGAGGAGGTGGACGCGGACAGCGAGGTGGCGGCCAAGCCCTCCGTGAAGGAGAAGGAGCAAAAACAACGCAAGCGCGATGAACTGCGAAGGCGGCGGGAGGAGGAGGAGGAGATGCTCGTCAAGAAAAATAAGGTCCCGGATGATAAAGGGGGTCTCTTGAATACGTTGGGCCCGTATGCCGCGCCCCGTCTCACAATTAGAGCCTCCACCTTCACGTTCCCAAGTCGAAAGACTCTGGAGCAGCGCACCGCACTGCCTTCGCCTGAGTCCTCCTCCTCCTCCGAGGAGGACGACAACAATTACGAGGAGGAAACTGTGGCGGTGGCCTCCTCGTCCTGCTCCGCCGGTGGGGGCGAGGCCGTAGCTCACTTGACGGCTTTCATGAAGCCCTTGTCGATGGATTCCCTGAAAAAGCTCAGTGAGAGCGCCAAGGTGAAGAGAAAACCCTCATCCTCGAACCGCGAGTATATTACACAGATTGTCAGGGCTGCCGTGCGTGTTGGATGCGATAAGGCATGTCGCCTTATGGATAGCCACAAAATATTCGAGGAGATGACAAACCACTTTCAAGCTGGACCGTTGAACACGGCGGCTAGCATCGACTTTTTACAGTCCCTTCCCGATCAACTAAAACACGCTCTAGGCCACATTTTGGGTGTCTGGGAAGAGAGTCCCCAGGTGGAAGCCATGTGGGAGCGTATGGTGGCCATGGGATTTTTGGGCGTTCTCACCAACCTTCGCCTAAAGCCGCTCAAGAAGATTGCGACGGAGTTAGGCGTGCCCATGCCAGACACGCAGTCCACCGAGAAGTGTTGTGAGACCATTATGTTTGCCGCATTTCCACGGGAGCGGTTGCGGGCAAAAAATTCACGCTCCAAGAAGCAAAAGACACTCAATTTTACGGTTCCACCAGCTGGAATGCGGTGTAAAGGGCACATGGGTTTTATCACGTTTCAGGTGGAAAATGTTTCCATTTTACCCAAAGATAATGAGCGTCGCTACTCTCCGGAGTTTGAGTTTGGTAAGCTGAAGTGGAGTCTTCTTTGCATGGCGAACAAGGAGTTTCTGGCGCTTTACTTGTGTCAGACTGGCAGCGTGTTCTGCAAGTTCCTGATCACAGTGGTGAATCATGCGAATGTAGACGACTCTATCTGCAACGAAGGCACGCAGCGGTTTTCGACGCGGTCACAGGAAAATGACTGGGGGTTTAACACCGTGATTAAGTTTGAGGAGTTGCTGAACCCGAAGAAGGGGTTTTGGCAGGAGGAGGGCGACAGCGTCACAATCGAGGTCGGCATCGTCCTCGTGGAGACGCCGAAGCCGCTCAACCCGGCGAAAAACACGTCGAATAAAGACAAGCAGACGGGTCCCAAGGTGGATGAGAAGGCGGTGCGGCAGCTCATCGAGGATGAAAAGATGGCACAGGTCCGGAAGCGCATTAAGCAGGAGATCGCCAAAGTCCTAAAGGACGGGGAAAAGACTCGAAAAGGGATCGCGCAGCGAGCCACGAAGGGGTTTCACGACCTGGTGGAGCGCTTCAAGGCAGAGAAGCAGCGCATCATCAAGGAGCTCGCGGAGCGCGAGCGGCGGGAGCAGCAGGAGCGACAGCGCGAGCTTGAGATCATTAAGCAGGCACAGGAGCAGAATGCGGAGATGAAGCGGCGCATCGAAAATCTGAAGAAAGAGAACGTTACTTTGATGCGGGAGAAAAAGGAGCTGACGCAGGAGACAAGAGACTTGAAAAAGACAAGCGATAGGTATACCCAAGAACTGCATGCCATCAATGAGAAGAAGACGATGCTTCAACAGAAAGTCACGCAGCAGGAAAACAAAATTGCCGCGGCGGAAAAACAACTCAGTGAGTTGCGGCAGGAGGAGTCACCCAATCCATCCTCGTCGGATGATGAGGCAAACGTGAGCGATGACTGTGAAATCATGTCTCGGCTCAGGGAGTCGCTTGAACAGTACATCGGGACCGATGGAAAAGGTGAATAAAGCGCATGCCAGCGTATTT